TGTCGCCCCCGGCGGTGGGACGGGGGACGCCCGCGCCTGTGGAGGGGGCCCTCCCAGAGCCAGGCTCCGCCCACTCGGCGCTCGGGCCGCCCCTGTCCGGCTGCCTGCACGACGGCTCTTGCCAGTTTTCCTAGTTCTTGCATGTGTTGCGGAAAACCCGTTACCGGATGTAGCACCGGTATTGGAACAGTACGCAAATCACGAGTGACAGGTTTGATGAATTTTCACAAGCTGTGTATACTCACGATGCTGCTACCCACATGAATAAAGAACATACCAGCCTGGGCAACATGGTGAGATCTCACCTCTACAAAAAATTTTTGAAATTAGCCAGGCGTGGTGGTGCATGCCTGCAGTCCCAGCTACTTGGGAGGCTGAGGAGGGATGATCGCCTGAGCCCAGGAGGTTGAGGCGGTGGTGAGCTGTGACGGTGCCACTCTGCTCCAGCCTGGGTGACCGAGTGAGACTGATTCAAAAATGAACAAACAAACAAAAACCTTCGTGCACTTTAAAGCGAATGGAATACCAGATATCTCACCATACATGGAAAGTGCTGGCTCCCATCAGAGTAAACGCAGACGCCCAGGACTTCCCTTGATGTACCCTGGAGTCAGGGGCTCCCTCCTTTGGGCGTTGTTGGGCTGTCAGTGCTCCCTGTGTGCCCTGCAGCCCACAGGGTGAACAGGCCGAGGAAGCAGCAGCCAAGAGTCTGGCTGGGGCAACCCGCAGACCCGGATTCAAAGCTGGCCCCTGTGCTTTGTGGCCGAGCGGCCAGCGTTGGTGGCTGGGTGCTTGCAGCCCACGGCTTCTGTCTGTCAGATGGCGGCCACAGCAGTGCTTCTCAACCCCGTGTTGGGAGGATGCGCGGCAAAGCATGGAGAAGCTCCTTGAGTCCTCAGGAGCCTTCCCCAGGGCATGGCACTCTACAGTTTGCAGAAGCCTGCTCTGCACTTGGACTCGTGTTATTGCCCATGTGAGAAGGCTGAAACCCTGGCTGCCCCTCGGACGCGGCCTTTCTCATGGCACGCGTGGGTCCAGCCTGGTCACCCCCTTCCTGCCCCACTCAGCCTCTCCGTGTCCCCCCTGGGCCCTGACCGGGCACCCTGGCGGCACACTAAGCGCCAGGAGTGGTCGTGGAGGGTTCCTGGGCCCCGCTGAGGCCTCCTGCCGTCTGGACTGCCCAGCCTGCTTCCTGCCATAGGAGAAGAAACCCAGGCTCACCCCTCCCAGAGTGGCCTCCCTGTCAGATAGCTACATCGACCAGACGCCCTCAGGCTCCAGCCTGGGCGGTAAGTCCCAGTGCCCGCCTGGCACAGGCGGCCAGAGCAGCAGGGTGCTCTAGGGGCTGGTTGAGGCCATTGGCCTGGGCTTGGCTGTTGGCAGCTGTGTGGCCCTGGGCGAGTGGCTGAGAGTGGGCGAAACAGCCTCACTGGCATGTGAGGACGGGGTGGGCGGCCGGCTGCGCAGTGGCCGCTCCACCCGGGGCCCCCCCGAGGCCGGCCCTGGAATAAGCCCACAAGCCTGTGCGTGTCTGGGGGTCCCTGGCCCCCGTCCCCGAGCTGCGCACGCCATCCTCAGCAGTGAGGGGAGGCAGAGCCCACACCTTCCTGTGCTCTGCAATCGACAAACTCGAGGGCCCTGGGTCTGGGGACAGGATGACTGGCACCGCCTTGGCCCTGGGGCCTGAGCTCTAAAGAAGCTCCCAGAGGAAGAAGGCAGGCAGGTGACCAGGCCACCAGGAGACAATGAGACGCCATGAGGGAGGCCAGAGGGCATGGGGGGGAGTTCTAGGGCCTGAAGGAAAAGCAGGGTGAGCCAGGTGTGCGGGGGTGGGCAGCCCTGGGTGCACACGGGGGAGACACAAAGGAGAGGAGGGGCCGGACAGGCCAGGGCCCTCGGGCACTTCCCTGCATCGCCAACCCCGCACCCTCAGGCGTGGGTCACAGAGACAGGCTGGGCAGGCGTGCAGGCAGGCCCTGCCGCTGGCCATGCCACGCCCCCGGGGTGGGACCTGGAGGACCCCCGCCCCTGGTGCTGTCCCGGGAGGCGGGCAGGCCTGAGGGCTGCTCCTGGCATGCCCTTCCCAGGCAGGCCCCGATGCAGCTCAGAGATGGAGACGGAGACGTCTGGGATGTGCCAGGACTACAGGAGTAGCTCAGCCACCGGCGAGACATTCTCAGACTACTCGGACCACTCGGTGCTGAAGACCCAGTCCTCAGACTCTGGGGACATGCGGGAGGACCGAGGCCTGAGACTTGGCCCCAGAAGAAGCCAGGCTTCCCGGAGTCAGAGGTGGAGGCCCAGCAAGCCCGAGGCCACCCTGGGACAGAGGTGGAGGCCCAGCAAGCCCGAGGCCACCCCGGGCCAGAGGCGGAGGCTCAGAAAGGCCAAAGCCGCCCACGGCTGGAACAGGAGACCCAGCAAGGCTGATGCCACCCCAGGCCGGAGCCAGGGACTGATCCGCAGTTCCAGCAAGACCAAGGATTTCCAGGACCCGAGCTGGAGCCCCAGCAAGGCTGCGGACACCCGGGGCCGGAGGCCCAGCAAGGCCGCCGCCCAGAGCAAAGCATGAGCTTGAGTTCCAGCAAGGTGGAGTCGGCCTGGGGCCCAAGCCCAAGGCACAGCAAAACCAAGACCCCCACGAGCCTGGGCCCCAGCCACACTGTGCTCTGCAGGGCGGCTGAGCCCTCCGCCTCTGCGCAGAGGGGCATGGCTGCACGCGCACACGGCTCCCAGCTCCTTCCAGAGCCATTAGAAACCTCAGCCAGCATCCTTTCGGTCCACGGCTTATTACCCTTGCTCTCTTCGATTACAAAATTCAAAACTTCGAAAACCAGGCCCAGGTGGCCACTCGAGTCCCTCCGTTCGTGAACACGGCGTGGCCCCTGCCAGGCTCCATGGCACTGGGCCTGCGGGTGGCGCGAGGGGACGGCACCAGGCCGGGGCAGGGGTGCAGGCTCCAGGGCGCCGCCAGGGGCCATGGTCCCTGAGGTGCAGTTCACATTAAGAGGGCTCAGGCTGGGGCCAGGCTCAGAGAGGCTTTCCCTGGGGAAGACGGCCAGGGCCGTGATGCTCTCAAGCCTGCCGAGAGGCCAGGACTCTCCTGGCCTCGGCCCGTGGGCTGCCGGCACCCTCCTGGCCTTCACTGGTGCCCTAGGGCCTGCTCTCCAGGCGGCGCGGGACACGGCCCGCTGAGAGGTCCCAGGCCTTCCCGCACGGACGCCCTGGGAGTCAGAGGAAGAAGGCGATCCGGGAGGCCACGGTCTTGCAGCCGTTGGAGGAGAAGAGCTGCTCGTCCTCGGGGAAGAAGACGGTGCTGTCCAGCACGGCCTGGTCGACCTCATCCCGGGGCGCCAGGCCCAGCTGCGCCAGCTCGTTGTGCACACAGTGCCGGACGTGGTGCCGCTGGAGCGGGAGGAAGGGCACCACGGCGTCCAGGAGGCGTTCCTCCATGATGCCCGAGTGCCAGAAGCCATCTGCGGGGGGGGTAGAGGGAAGCCCTGCGCTGCACGCGGAGAAGCCAGGCGCCCCAAGCGGGGCGGGGCCTCTCAGCCGCCTCCTGGGCGAGGGACTCGGGGGGCTGTGAACGCACCCAAGGTCACAGAGCTGGGTGCACCAAAGCCTGGGATCGGAACTACCCGGCCAGTGGACAGGCATCAGGGAGAAGCTGGCCCCTGGGAGAACCTGGTCGCCAAAGCAACCTGGCCCCTGGGAGAACCTGACTCTTGGGAGAAGCTGGCCCCCAGGAAAACCTGGCCTCTGAGAGAACCTGGCCCCCATGACAGCCTGGCTCCTGGGAGAACCTGGCCCCCGGGAGAACCTGCCTCCCTGGAAGAACCTGGCCCCCAAAACAGCCTGGCCCCCGAGAGAACCTGGCCCCGGGTCTGGGTTGTGAAGCCGCCCGGGTTGGGCTCCCGAGCCCGACTCACGGAGCGGGTTGTCCAGCACGGCGCGATAGATGATGGGCTCTAGCTCCTGCAGGCGGATCTCCTCGCGGTCCCGGCGGCTGCGCCATGCCTCCAAGACCACCTGGTTGATCTGCTCGCCACCAGTGTTGCTAAACCACAGGGGACCCAGGCTGAGACTCAGGCAAGGGCCAGCGTGGGGCGGGACTCGGCCCTCACTGCCCTGGTGCCACCTGACACCACCTGGGAGCACAGCTCAGCGTCGGAAAGAGCCAGACCCGCTGGACACCCCCACAGCCCTCGGGCCTTGCGTCCACAGCTGGGACCCTGAGATTCACCCACACGTGCCACGCACTCTGCAGACACTGTGTCCTGTAACTGACGGCCCTCACGGAGCCTGAAGCAGGATGATGGCATTAGCATGGGCCCTGCTGTTCCGAAGCGGAGGCAGAGGCTCAGAGAGGTGAAGCGACCTTGCCTGAGGAACCCAGCCAGGACTCTGCGAGCTGGGACCCAAGGCCGACAGTGCTGGTCCTGTGTTTCCCAGGCCTGCGTCCTCCTGGCCACAAAAGTGGGCCAGCCCTGACCCAGCAGGGCTTCCACAAGCGGTGAGGATCAGGAACACTGAGTCCAGGAAGGGTTTCGAGGGTGGCGGAGGAGCAGGTAGCGGGCGCAGTGGCTCACACCTGTAATCCCCGCGCTTCGGGAGGCCAAGGTGGGAGGAGTGCTTGAGCCCAGGAGCTGGACACCAGCCTGGGCAACAGAGCAAGATCTCGTCACCACAGAAATAAAAATTAAAGCAAAAATTAGCCGGGCATGGTGGTGTGTGCCTGTAGTCCCAGCTACTTAGGAGGCTGAGGCGGAAGCGTCGCCTGAGCCCGGGGGGAAGAGGCTGCAGTGAGCTGTGACTGTGCCACTGTACTCCAGCCTGGGTGAAGAGTGAGACCTGCCTAAAGACAAACAAACAGAAAGCGGAGAGGCCAACCACCTTGGAGGACAAGATCACCAGAGAGAGTGGCGTTCCGGAAAGCCCAGCGGGCCCAGGGGGAAGCGTGTGCCTCTGGGAGCACAGGCCACGGCTGCAGGGCCGGACCTCGAGGGATGTCCCCCTGTCCCCCCGCAAAGCCGGGCCTACCTGATGAAGATGAAGATGGCTTTCCGATAGTTGGTCCCATACGCGACCCAGGAGGAGCCCAGCGAGGGTCGCAAGACTTCTATCAGGCCGGGGGGCATCCTGTCCATCTCATCGAAGAGGAAGAGGGAGCGGCCACAGGCCGTGAGGTTCCCCTGGACCCAGCTCTTAAGGTCTTTCTGGGGAGAGACAGGAGTTGGCGGGGGCTGGAGAGATGCCCCAACCCCAGGCTTCTTCCTAAGCTGAAAAACTAACCTCCCTCCTGGGGAGACATGTTCTCCCAGAGTAACCCCTTAATGAGACTGATGGCGAAACTGGCTCAGAGAGGGGCAGAGACTTGCCTAAGATAACACAGCCTTGGCCCAGTGCAGTGGCTCGCGCCTGTCATCCCAGCACTTTGGGAGGCCGAGGCAGGAGGATCACTTGAGCCCAGGAGTTCAAGACCAGCCTAGGCATCATGGTGAGGCCCAGTCTCTACAAAAAATAAAAAAATCAGCAAGGCATGGTGGTGCCTGCTTACAGTCACAGCTACTTGGGGGGCTGAGGAGGAAGGGTCGTCTGAGTCCAAGAGTTCAAGGCTGCGGGGAGCTGTGATAGCACCTCTGGACTCCAGCCTGGGCGACCCCGACTCAAAAATAAACAAGTCAGTCACACAGCCAGGCAGCAGCAGAACCAGGACTCAAACCCAGGTCTCCTGCTCCCTGTTCAGGGCTCCTCCCATGGGTTCCTGCTGGCTCTAAAAGGGAAAGGCTCAGCCTGTCGTCCCAGCACTTTGGGAGGCCGAGGCGAGGGGATTGCCTGAGCCCGCGGGTTCGGGACCAGAGCCCTCGCCACTGCAATGAATAAAAAAAAGGAGCTGGGTGTGGTAGCCCGTGCCCGTCGTTCCGGCCACTTGGAAGGCTGGGCTGGAAGGACCGCCAGAGCCCAGAGGCCGATGCTGGGGTGGCTGTGAGCGTGCTGCTGCACTCCGGCCCGCGGCCTGCGACTCAAAACGCATGCAACAAAGGGAAAGGCTCCTTCCTGGTCCCGGCACCTTCCCAGCAGAGCTGACAGCCTGGAAGGGGCCCCTTCACCGAGCTCGCTGAGCCACAGACGGGCTCTCCAGGGAGAAGACAACGCCGACGGCCCGGAGGCGTCCCGC